GCATCTATTGTACAACTTTTTTTTTTTTTGAGTTGGAGTCTCACTTTGTCACCCAGACTGGAGTGCAGTGGCCGCACTGCTCGATCTGCTGGGCTCCGGTGATCCTTCCGCCTCAGCCTTCCAAGTGGATGGAACTACAGGCACGCGCTACCATGCCCGGCTCATTTTGATTTATTGTAGAGATGAGGTCTTGCTAAGTTGCCCAGGCGGGTCTCAAACCCGCAGGCTCAGGCAATCCACTCACCTCAGCCTCCCAAAGGTGCGGGATTGATTACAAGCTAAGCCACCGAGCCCGGCTTTTTTTTTTTTTTTTTTTTTAGTTGGAGTCTCACTCAGTCACCTAGGCTGGAGTGCACAGCCACAGCAGCCTCGATCTGCTGGGTTCAGGCAATCCTTCTGCCTTAGCCTTCCAAGTAGCTGGAACCACAGGCATGTGCCACCATGCTCAGCTAATTTTTTGATTTATTGTAAAGACAAAGTCTCCCCATGTTGCTCAGCCTGGTCTCAAACCCCTGAGCTCAGGCAATCATCTCGCCTCTGCCTCCTAAAGTGCTGGGATTACAAATGTGAGCCACCGGGCCTGGGTATTGTACAACTTAAAGATGGTATTTGAGGTATTTTTCAGACTTTGTACTCTGACAGATCCAAGGTCCCACCTGGGCCTGGAGCACATACTAGGAAGCTGTCTTCACTAGTCCTGTGATGCTACCTCCCAGAAACAGGCTCTGAAAACTGACATGAAGGTGATTTTGACACCCCATTACATCTTCAACCAATTAACTGTCCCTTGCCCCTGTCCACCGAATTCCTTTTAAAAACCCTAGCCTCTTAATTCTCCAGGAGGTAGATTTAATTCTCCTGTTCTCTTTGCTCAACTGCTTTGTGATATTAAATTCTGTCTCCACTGTAATGGCTGGATCAGTTTTGGTTTTTCTTCAGCTGCTGTTTGCTAGGTGTTTTCAGCTTAAAATAATCTTCATGGCACATTTGCAGGTCCAAGTGGATCCCATCAATAGGTTTAGCTAAATTGCCTTCTATAGAATTTTTTTTTTTTTTTGAGTCCGAGTCTCACTCTGTCGCCCAGACTGGAGTGCAGTGGCCGTTCCCGGCCATTGCAGCCTCGACCTGCTGGGCTCCAACGATCCTTCCGCCACAGCTTTCCAAGTAGCGGGAATTACAGGCACACGCCACCATGCCCAGCTGGTTTTTTTATTTATTGTAGAGATGAGGTTTCGCCAAGTTGCCCAGGCGGCTCTCAAACCTGCAGGCTCAGGAAATTCACTCACCTCGGCCTTCCAAAGCGCGGGATTACAGGCTGAGCCACGGAGCCCGGCCGAATCTGTACTAATTTCTACTCCCACTAGCAATAATGATAGTTGCTGCTTATAACGAAACCCTTTCAAACATGGTATGTTATAAAATATTTTTATTTTATCTAATTTGGATAGTGGAATAATAATCTTTTTTTGAGATAGAGTCTTGCTTTTTCAACCAGATTGGTATGCAGTGGTGTGACCACAACTCACTGCAACCTCAAAGTATTTGGCTCGTGCAATCCTCCCATCTCAGTCTCCTAAGTAGCTAGGATTATAGGTGTGCCACCATACCTGGCTAATTTTTTTTTGTAGAGACAGGGTCTACGTTGCTCAGGCTGTTTCCCAGCCTGGTTTTGAACTCCTAGACTCAAGCAATCCTTCCACCTGAGCCTCCCAAATTGCTGGGATTTACAGGCATGAGCCACCACAGCCTAACAGGTGTGGTCATATTTTATTGTTATTTATTTTGTAAAAGTTTACTTATTTATTTATCAGAGTTTCACCCTGTCATCAAGGCTAGAGTGCAGTGGTATGATCACGATTACTGAATCCTTGACTTGCTGGGCTCAGGTAATCCCTTCCACCTCAGCTTTCCAGATAGCTGGAACTATAGGCCCGTGTTGTCATGCCCAGGTGATTTTTTTATTTATTGTAGAGACGAGGTCTTGCCAAGTTGCCCAGGTTGGTCTCAAACCCCTGGGCTCAGGCAATCCTTTCGCCTCCGCCTCCCAAAGTGCTGGGATTACAGGACTGAGCCATCGCGCCTATCTAGTATTTAAAATATTTTAATATTTGATTTTATATTAAATTTATTGTGAAAAGTCAGGTAGCTATCCAACTATTTTTTTCCAAAGTATTCCTAGCAATCCTCCCTTATGAATCTTAGAATTCATGTATCTAGTTTCAAAAAGTTATCTTATTGATACATTTATTAGGAAATTTATAGGTTAGGAAGAATTTTCTCAATGATGTGAAAACTAAAACAACCTAAAACTCCGAGTTTTCATTAAAAAAAAACTATTGTAAGATCTAAATTAATACGGTAGTCTATAAAACCTAAAATTAAGGTCCTCTTAAAACATCTCAATACCCCCATCTCACTCTCCTTCATGCATGTCACTACTGTTAACAGTTTGAGAGTATCCTTGTATACTAAGCTTACATTTAGAAACTTGTAGGTACATTTCCATATGCAGGTTTTTATTGCTTTTGTCTTATATGCATATGGGGGCCTTTGTGTTGAAGGGGCCATAACATGTCCTTATCAATTTTTTGTAATTATCTGCAGATGCACATTTAGGTTGGTTCTTTTTTTTCCTTCTACGAATAAAATCTGGTGAACAGCCTCAGATATATTATTGTATAACATTCTTCCATGTTTGTGTATTTCATAGCATATGTTTCTAGAAAGGAATTGCTAGCTAGAAAAGAACAGATGCATATTTTAATTTTTGATAGATACTACCAAGTTATCTTCCAAGACAGCATATGATACTCTCATCCACAATACAGGAGGGTATGCATTTCCATACTCTCCTGAATACTGCATATACAAATCTTTTGCCAATGTGTAAATCTGAAATATTATCTAGGTCACAGCTATTCTTTTTTTTTTGTTTAAGTAGGAATCTCACTCTGTCATCCAGGCTAGAGTGCAGTGGCACGCTCATGGTCACCGCAACCTCGACGTGCTGGGCTCAGGTGATCCTTCCGCCTCAGCCTTCCAAGTAGCTGGAATCACAGGCGGGCGCCACCATGCCCAGATAATTTTTTTGATTTATTGTAGAGACAAGGTCTCACCAAGTTGCCCAGGCTGGTTCCGAACTCCTGGACTCAGGCAGTCCTCTGGCCTCAGGCAGTCTTCTGGCCTCAGCCTCCCCAAGTGCTGGGCCTACAGGCTTGAGCCACCATAGCCGGCTCACAGCTATTCTTTTAAGGGCTACATACGCGAAAGGATCTCTCGTTGCCTGGCTTACTGTCAGCATTCCGTATTTTCTGATGGTCATACAGGTGTGCGGGCTGTAAAAAGAATTTTCAGGTACAGAACTAACCATCAGATTCCACCGAAGCCTTAAAGAAATCAGTCCAAAGGTTAACACTTCCAACTGGTAACGTCTTAAGCGACGGGATCACTATACTAGGCTGTGTTACCTTCTGAAGAAGCGGGAAGTTCCATTTTTATGAGAGTTCCCCCACGACTCCGCCCCCCAAAGGAACCCATCCGCGTTCGCGAGCCTGCCTTTGTCTCCGGAGCCACGCAAAGCTCCGGGTTAGTTGCACAGGACAAGGCGTTCTTCTCTCGTCTTCACCCGAGGAAGAAGGTGGGCTTCTTTCCTGGCCCCAGTGCCGTGTGTCGTCGGAGGCCGTGCCGGCCGATCTCCCCCAGGCTTGGGTCCTCCATCCGAGGCGCGCCTGGAAGCCCAAGCGCCGCCCTGGACTAGCTCTGCGGAGCGCCCCACAGAAGTAGGCGCCCCTTCCACCTTTGGGACAAGACTGGGAGAGCTTGGCGCTTCCGGTTTGGTTCTTTGGTGGTGATGGTGGGAGGAGGGGTAAGTGATTACAAACCTGGATCTGGCGACTACCGGCTTGTTTGACTCGCGGCACACTTTGAAGGCGGAGCCAAGCGCCAGATGCCTCGGGCGCCAGCGTTTCCAGACTGGACGTGGGGCGGGGGCCCACCTGCCATCAGATGGATGGCGTTTTTACGCTGGATTTTGGCTTAATTCAACCTAAACAGCTTCTTGGGATATGATATTTTCCAACGCCTATGAAGTGGGAACTCAGACTCCCAGCCGGTGGGTGTGTGTTCTGTGAAGGGAACTCACTTCAGACAGGAGCCCGGGGTCACCAAAGGGCCGGGCGCCACGAGGGTGTGGAAATCCTTCAAGACCAGCCAATGACTGGACGAACTGCCCTAGGGGCCGGCCTCATAGGCGCGCTCAGGCCTCAGGCAGTCGTGACCGTGATTGGTGGAATTAGGCGGAAAACCCACTAGCCTCAAACACACAGGTTTTGATTGGCTGCAGCAAATAGTCGCTTTTCTACAGCCCAAACGCAGAGCAGCTTGGTGATAAATCCCGCCTTAAAGGCATTTGATAGCAGTTTTACGTGTTGTAAAGCACACGGTGATTGGTCAGAGCGCTCACGGTTTAGTCGGTAGTAAACACAACCAGGCTCCTGGGACCGTGGATTGGTCAGCGTTTCTGGGGGCCGAGTAAATTCCTCCGGGTTCCGCGCGCCGGCTGGCTGCACTCCTGCCGAGGCCCCGCCTCTCTCTCTACTGATTGGTTGCAGTCCGTCGGGGGGGGAGGAATGGAGCGGAGTAGGCGAGCTTGCA